AGACTTAAACCACATATATCCCATGATCATTTTAAGTGGTTTTTAAAAAAATAAAAATTAACTTCAAGAAGTCTACCCAACCATTCTCAGTGCAGTCCTTGGTTTTTTTTATGATTCTAGGAGTCATTTGACGGTTTGTCCTCACTAAAGCAGCTTATTATTGACCGTAATCGTGTGGAAGAGATCCAGCCTGGAGCGTTCTCTCAGCTGGGCTCCCTCAACCTGCTCTCCCTCTCACACAATCAGCTGGTTTACATCCCTAATATGGCATTCCAGGTACCCACACTAAACCGTGTGTACAAAATACTTTTACAGAGATGCACCTGTTGCTGGAGCCTTAAATAAAATGCCAGCTTCCTTTGCTTTCAGGGCCTGCAGAATATCAAGAAGCTTCGTCTTAGTAACAACTGTCTAATCTACCTGGACACTGAAGCCTTTGTCGAACTGGTTAACCTAAAACGTCTGAACCTGTCCAGGAATCCAATCCTCTGCAACTGTTGCCTGCATCCACTAAGGTACGATGGGCTGTTGTTGGTCATGTACTGACAGCTTCAGGAAACCTCGGGAAAGTGATCAGCATGATTTTCTCCCCCCCCCCCTATTCTGCAGAGAGTGGGCTTTCTATAACAAAGTGAAGCTGGTGGGGACTTGTGGAGGGCCATCCTATCTTTCAGGTGAGAGACTGAACACTGTCCACCCTCCTAAGCTTTTTGTATATTTATACTTTTGTTTAAAGAATACCTGGTAGAGGATGTCAATGTTGTTGTTGGCAAGGTTGAGGAAGACCAGGCGACCGAGGCCACGGAACGCCCCCTCCTTCACCTTGTGGATGTTACAGCGCTGCAGCGACAGGTGAGTCAGGTAGGGGGTGTGCATGAAAGCCCCAGTGGGGAGTTCCTGTATGTCATTACCTCGAAGGTCCAGTTTCACTGTTATCTATGAGGAAAACAGATTATATATTAGAGGGTAATAATAAGTATTTAAAAGGTACCACCGCTGTGGAAGTTTACCCGAAGCCTTATCATTCTCTAACAGGGGTATTAAAATTTGTATTTCCCTGGAAATAAACACCTGTTCAACAGAGAATTGTTTAAACAGCCCCATTTTTGTGGATTGTTTAAACTCCACAGCTTACCTGAGTAGCTAATCATTTCTATCTAGACTTCTTAGATGTGCAGCAGACAAATGTGCAGCAGCTGTGTGATGCTATCATCCTAATATGGACCAAAATCTGTGAGGAATGTTTCAGGACCTTGTTGAATCTGAGCGGATACGACCTGGTGATAGCAAGGTGTACCTAACAAACTGACCAGTAAGTGTATATGTTTATAGATACCTCATCAACAGCAGGAGGAACCTGGGTCAGGTTCTTGTTGACACAGGTCACAGTGAGTTGGATTTGGTCGCAGAAACACTCCTGTGGGCATTTTGCTGCTTGGACTGCAGGGACGCAGAGGACCAGCGAGCTGATCAGCAGAATCCAAAAGGTAACGGGAAGGTCCATCTGTAGGAAAAACCCTGATTCACTCTTTTAGTTTGGTCACATAACTCATACATAACATGTCAAACTGCAATGCTAAATGTTTAAGGTGCACGTACGCCAACAAATTACCGCTGATTCGTTTTTTTAATTTTTAGCGGCGATGTACCGTAATAGAAAATTTATTCATGCATACAGCTTTCCAGTTTTCTGTTCATGTTGGTAGCTTCAACATTAATTTATATGCATTTGGATAAAAAAAATGTATTAATGTACTAATAGATCAGTTACAGGGGCAACTTCTTTTAGAGGTATTTTGTTTTGTTTTTTACACTTGCTACTTTAAACACATTTTTATTGACAGATTTGCATCAACGTGTTATTGATGCAAGAGATGTCATTGTAATAGATTCTCATTAAACCAAGAATAAGTCTTTTAACCTGCAAAAAGGTTGGAAA